AGAAAAATGGCAGCTCCGGCGATCCTAAACGGCGGCGATGCGACGACGGAGAGGGAAGTTCGAATGGCGCACTCTGCAATGACCTTTGTTCAGCTCATAAATGGAGCTTATCATGTGGTTACGAAAGTAGCTCTTAACGTTGGTGTTAATCAGCTTGTCTTTTGTGTCTTTCGTGATCTTCTTGCTCTCTCAATTCTCGCACCTCTCGCTTATTTCCGCGAAAGGTTTCATTTTTCTCGCCATTTGTTGGTAAAATTGTTTGAATCGTTAAAATCAGTGAATTTTTTTGATTTTTTCAATGCAGTTTCTGATTCGATTTGATGGGTTTTTAATAAATATGCAGCAAACTCAACATATCTCAATCTTTCTGGAATTGGAATTAGGGCTTTTTCTCTTTTGTTTGATCCGATTCTGCTTGTTCTTGTTCTATTTACTTTGCTTCCATTGTTAGTAGATTTGACTTGGATTCAAGGTTTTGTGTTTCTGAGAAAGAGCAGAATGTCCTTATTGGTTTTATGCTCATGCTGTTTTGTCCTGAAATTGCAAAGTTTGTCAGATGATTGTAAATGAATCTGATTTTGTATTAAGACAAAAGTATTAAGCATGATTGTTGTTTTAATCTTGTAGAAGGATCAGACCTCCAATGAATAAAAGAATTCTCTTTTCACTCGTCTTCCTAGGATTAGCAGGGTAAGTAATCATCTCCATGATCTTTAAAATTCATGTTTATTTGAGTGTTAAGTAAAGATAAGTATTCTCATACCATTCAATCTTAATCTTGATAGGATATTTGGGAACCAATTACTGTTTCTCATTGGTTTATCGTACACGAATCCAACTTATGCCGCTGCTATACAACCATCTATCCCTGTCTTTACATTTCTATTAGCTGTGATGATGGGGTGAGTATGATTTTCCTCAACATTACCGTTAAATGTGAACAGAGTAGGGAGAAATGTACATATTTATTCAATCTTTGATGGTCTCTCCTTCTTTGTATGCAGTACAGAAAAAGTGAATTTGTTTAAAATTGAGGGCCTAACTAAAGTTGGAGGTACTCTCGTTTGTGTTTCCGGTGCCTTAGTGATGGTTTTGTTCCGTGGTCCAGCTTTGTTTGGAGGCGAAGATGCAGATTTTACAGCAAATAGTGTAGTCGTTGATAGAAGTCAACCAGAGCCTCATGGGTGGTTAGTCTCTAGTTTTGTTGGTCTTGGGTTAGATCTATGGCACATTGGAGTTATATGCTTGATTGGAAACTGCATGTGTATGGCTGCTTTTCTCGCTGTCCAAGCACCGGTTTTGAAGAAGTATCCTGCGTATCTTTCGGTTTCTGCGTATTCATACTTCTTCGGTGCATCAATAATGATCACAACAGCTATTGTGTTTGTTAAAGAGCCTAAAGATTGGAGCTTGACACAATCCGAGGTTCTTGCTGTTATATTCGCGGTAAGTTTTCACAACCAATATAAACATGTGGTTTGACACAAAATATTGGAGCTTTCTTGATCTGAGTTTTTTTGGTTTTTGATTTCTCAGGGAGTGTTTGCTTCAGCTCTAAACTATGGACTCTTGACTTGGTCCAATAAAATTCTTGGAGCTGCTTTGGTTTCTCTATACAACCCTCTTCAACCTGCAACATCCGCTTTTTTATCGGCAATTTTCCTCGGCAGTCCAATCTATTTCGGAAGGTTTTAAATTTTATAGTCTTGCTTGCATTCTTGATTCATCCACACATTCACACACACAACAAAGTCTTTATCTCCTCTTGGTATATATTGAATCGTATAACTCGATTTTCCTTCTTTGCGCAGCGTTGTGGGCGGAATCCTCATCATTTCCGGACTTTATATGGTTACTTGGGCATCTTATAGAGAGCAACACACAACAGTTTCAGGGAATATGATTAATGCTTCTTCTAGTGATGTAAGAATCTCAGAACCTTTGATTTACAGAGATGAGACTGGTAAATAACAACGGGTTAAAGAACAGTGTTTTTTTTTACTGTTAGACAAGAACTATATCACAGACAGTTTAACAGTTGGGACTTACTTACTTCCCTAATTAAACATTTTATAGTGTTAATTTATGAAGTTTTCAACTATTTATGTTCATAAGTACAAACTGTTCTGCAACAAAATGCAATACCGAGTCTTAGAAATCTCCATCACATCAATTTCACACGATAAAACATAAGCAAAAAAGAAGAGAAAAAGCTATGAAGATAAGGACTCCCCATTTGAAAGTTGCACTAATTTGGACTAACACGCAAGCTTATTGCCATTATTGGCCTATTTGGCTATATGATAACACATTTTATATGATTTTATTATTGAGACCGTGACGTTTACCATCTTCAAGACTCAAGTGGTTTCACTAATTGCTAGGAGTAAGGGTACAAACAGTATTGTTGCTCAAAATTGTTGTAAAATCATAGAAAATGACCAGATAAAATAAAT